AAGAGGACCTCGAAAACTGGCGCAGGTCCATCTCATTGAATCACAACCTGACAATTCTTTGCGGAGCAACATCAGCAGTTAGATTGAGACGAAGGAGCAGAGAGGTGTAGGTACGACGCACTTTCGATTAATTTATCGTTCCGACCGTTGTGCATTCTCCAACCCAATTTTTGTTCCCCAGAAGAGTCTGCTTTCTCAAGAGAACGTCCTACTAGTTTCCTTCACTAGTCGAGCACATCATCGGGATGTGTGCTAGACACGACCTCCCTTCCCACATTTTCTTCTTCGGGAATACTGCATTCGAGCGCCTTGTCGCTAACGCACTCTGGGTGCGTACGAGTACGGCCGCCCTTGGTGCTCATCCATGTGAACACCTGCTCTCGGACCTGATAATGGCTATCAGCTGAATGCTCCGGCGCAGCCATTTTCAGAGACTCGGCCAAGTACAGTCGCTTTGCTGCAGACGGGGGGGGGGTGTCAGGAGGGTCAGCTTTCGTGCAGCGCCAGTCCGTTCTCCACCAATTGTAGAAGCGGACAAACGACCACTTATTGGTGGAGAACGGCCTCAGCAAAAAGATTCTGCCTGTGCTAATCCTTTGGTCAGTGAACGCCACTTTCAAGCAACCTTGAACATTCAAAATGCGCAAAAATTTTCGAACAGATGTTAGTAAGCCTCAGGCTAAAAAGAATGCCTCCTACAGTGAACCAGTAGTGAGGAGGACCGTTCTAAACTCCAAGAAATATGTATTGAGTTATGAAAACAGGTCTGCTTACTCTATCTGATGGTCATAAATCCACAAAAAACAAGACGTTTAACACCCTTAAACGCTTCAATGACTCCAAAGCTGTCACCCATTCAACCAGTTTGTGATGCCTCACATGGCAATAATGAAATTTCAAAGGCAACACGGAAACGAGCATATTGAACGTTGGAATGCGATCTCTGTAACCGTTCAAACACCCCTACTGGGTGGGCCCCTCTTGTTAGTAGCCTTCCTAGCTCTTTACTGACCACACCCACAGGCTCAGCGCGTCCACTTTATTTCAGCGTGCCTAAAACTCACGGAGAAATCGGTGCAAAAGCATTTCCTTGGACGAGTCGTCATGAGTCTCCAAAATATTCCGAAGATGAGATTGCACCATCGGGTCGAATTTGCTTAGGCACTGTTCGCCTGAAAATTTTCGATTCTATCGTGAAAATCAAGAAAAACCAGAAGATTGAAGATTGCAAATTTAGTGAGACTGTACTTCCTTCCGATTACTAGAATATTTTTCTGCCCTACATATTTTCCTGTTCCTGTTGGTTTTTTGTAATTTTTTTTTTCGCTTTTCTTCTCAGTTTTCTGTCTTTTTTCAGTTGATTTACATTGGTAGCAGAGAATTTAGCGCAACCTAGGAGTGCATATATAAATAATAAAATATTTTCTCCCAAATGAATAGAAATGGCGTTATAGCAGGACACATTGTGGCGCTCCGCGCACGACTTGGGACACCGGATCTTTCTGGCTGGTGAAGCTTCACGAGGCCAGATCGCCTCCTTGGTTTACATGAGATCACCAAAACCTCAACGAACAGCCGTCGGTTCTTCATTGCTGAATGGATTCCGAGCGCTTGGCAAGTCCTACACTGGGTGGAATCCATGCTAAAGCGTTCTGGGGAACGGGATTTGATGCGGCGCCAGACGGTTTTGAGCTAATTATCTTCGCCTCAGTTCCACAATTGGTGGAAACGGGATGGCGCTGCGCCGTACCTACCCCACCCCCTGGAACCCAACGCCCTCAACAAATAAACTATAGCTTGCACTTGAGCTCTACCTTGGACACAGTGGTTCTGATATGGGGAGTGGGAGGCGGCGGGGTATTATGCCCCACAAAAATGCGGTGATGGTAAACTAATATTGAAAACAGCAGATAACAACCCCATTCATTTCTGGTTCTCTTGCCAGGCAACCTTAATTTGTGGAGGATTTCAATCATCTTACGAAGCGGTTCCAGTGGGTCGCAAAGTCATCATCGGACACAACACACTATGCCCCGCCTCTGCCAGCCTTATTCATTTTTTCTTGAATCAAATCGCTGCACTTATCGCGCTGGCACGAATAGAATACACTCCCGCCACACCATCCAGCTCTCCGTGACCTCTATGGGCTGGACCTTTGTCCTAACTCCTCACTTCGGGATAAAAAAACGGCGAGTTACACATCGATATATCCATATAAGGCTGGTTCATACTTTGCGGCTGCGTCCACTGACCACCACCCAGGATTCCGGGCGTCGGGCAGCGTCTCGGGGGCTAGGAAGATATAGATATCGATCCAGCGTCTGCCAGCGTCCTCCAGCGTTTACCACCGCGCGCCACCGTCTACCAGCGTCGGCGAGAAGAAAGTATGGGGAGATGAGGGTAGCAGACTGCTAATAGATATGGGGAGGTAGGAAGGTGGCAGATCGCTGGTATGGACCATGGCGCGATAAGAGCGTACCAGCAGTCTGCTATCCTCCTATCGCATCATAATTCCTTTCCCGGATCTGGTAAACGCTATTACACGCCGGCAGACGCTGGATCTATACCTAAACTTCCCTAGCCCTTGAGGTGCTGGTGGACGTTGATAGACGCTGGAGGACGCTGGCAGACGCGTGTAGACGCTAAATCGATATCTATACTTCCCTAATCGCTGAGGCTGCGGGAAGCTCGGAGCACTGGTGGACGCTGTTGGCTGCAGCCGCGAACTAGAAACGCAGCCTGAGTGATTATGTAAGCCAAATCGCATTCATCTAGCCCCTACTATTACAAAGGTTGTCGAATGCGTGATGCAACCCAGAATGGGATCGAACAAGGCCAAACGCTCGACCTACAGCTGGCAACATTCTGCAGTAATAAGTAATAAATTTTGAGTTTTTTTTAGAACTTTGTTGTTCGTTTCACTGCCTTCAATTCTTTGGAACGTCTAAGCGGTTTTTTCTTCGCGACATTTTGACGAACTAATGCCATTTGTCACGGACGCCGGCGATAACATAATTTCCGCCAAATTCACCTTAAAAGCTAGCAGCCTTAACTATTTATGGTGAATTACAGACAAAAAGTGGAAGCTCTAAAATTACTACTACAGTCTACTCAAAGCAAAAAATAATGAAAAAAATCAAAAAAAACAATATCAAATATAGTTTGCAAAGCATGTCTGCGTGTGTTTTTACGAGTACCCGTGCATTTGTAGGGCAACGCCAATTGGGCCATTTCTGCAGTAGTCGAAATGGGAGGCACGTCCGGCTTTGTGAAGAATTCTAGCCGATTTCCCTCCCAGATTTCCTCCTCCAGAACGAACCCCTGACCCCTTACCACAACCGACCAACCATTTTATCAACCTTGAAAATTAGCTTTCGATTGAGCGGGTAAGGGGCAGGGGAATAGACACCTCTGTTGTACTATCCAATCAATTAGAAAAGTTAACATTTTTATGCGGCCCGCTGGCAAGCGAAAGTTAGGTATTGCGCTAGAGCAAAAAGTCCGGCAGTTGAGAAAATTTATTCCTTAATGTGCTTCAAGACCCATCTCTCTTTTCATTGGGTGGGTCTCAAGACCTCTGACACAGACCATAGACCATATCTCAGTAGTATTCTCGGTAAAGCTGCCTGGACAAGGCTGTCTGCACAATCCCTGAAGAGGCGCTTAGTTTCAGCCTCTTTCTGGGCAGTGCAACCCATTCTCTCAATTCAAGCTAGGAGCGCCTCTCCTGATTTTGCTTCTTGGGCACATACTATAAGGTCTGGAAAGTTTTGAGAGAATTTTTCACACTTTTAGTTTGAAGAAGTGTAGCAAGCGAATGCCCCAACAGAAAGTCATATATCAAGTGCTATGAGAAAGAGAAATGTTTGTAGATCAATACTAATGCTGGTTGGTGTTATTCTCCATTGTTGGTATGAGTTGGCATTACCCGAAAAATGTACGAGCTCACACACCTCCCAACGTCTTTTATTTCATCTTCACCGTTCTGGCTGCTTTATTGGTCAAATTGGGATTGAGGAACCGTATCCTATGCTGGATAGAACGCGCTTCAAAATTATCTCTACTAGGAGATCAATCGGTCTCTTACATGGAAATTTAGCTTAGATGTTTCGTACGCCCCCTCCTCGCTCCCGCACAAGGTAATCCCGCCCAAAAGGTGAGGAGATAGGTTGGACAATATTTATTATAACTATGAACTCCTACCTCCTGTTGTTGTTCATAGATGTTAAATGAGCTGGTTGAAATTTCTCAAAACTTTCCGGACACCCTAATAATTACCACAGTGCTTTGGAGGCCTTATTACTGTCCGACACACCCTGCGATCTTTGAGCGTCGACACCTTTCAAGCGTTCTTCAGCACCGTGCAAATTTCAGCTTCACAGTAAACCTCTCAACTGACGTAAAACCCTCCGGTTAGTGCATGCACCTAATTTGGCTGGCCTACTGCCAAGTCGCTCTAATATTCATTGCAGTGAATGAGATGAAGGAACTGCCCACGAATGCAACGCGACGTGATGAACGGCAATAGCCAGCCATATCCTTTTTCTACCTCTTGAGCACAGGCAGTTAATCGAACGGCGTGTAAACCAACAAAGCCTTCTTGTCATTTGAAAGAGTGGGATGAATAGAGAGTTCTTCAAAGAAGACAAATTCCATGACCTCAACATAAGATGGCTCAAAGGCAGTTGGCACGATAAATTGGTATTTAGCTTAAAATGCTAGCAGAGCGCTATACAGCGGAAAAAATGGCGAAAAAAAAGAAAAGGAACGGTCGGAAACCTGCGAAGAGGAGCTTCCGTTCTCAATGACTCAAAAAGCATATTCGGACGAGTTCTCCATGGGCATCTTGCCAATAAGCGCTAAGGCAGACACGGCTGCACACGTATACTCATATATCCAGACAGCATCGCAGCCCTTCATACCAATCCCTTCGCTTCATATTTTACTTAGCAAATGAAGCAATACGAGCGTCAGGACGGTCGTCCATTTGTGGGCGGGCGGGCGTGGAAGGGCGTTCGGGTCGGTATGTTGTAGCTTGATAGAGCCTTATAAGGGTAACTTCTTAAAAAAGGAGGTACGCAGCCCCTGCTCAAGGTTGCGTCCTGCCAGGCATATTAATCATACTCGTCTTGCAATATTGTTAGTGTGCAATATCGTGACAACTGCCTTTAAGTTCAATGCCGAAAATCGCAGCTATCTTGGGCCCACAGATTTTCTAATATTGTGCAAAAGCCACTGCTATTTCCGAAAAATAGATCAACGGAAAAATTCACTATTTTTCTATTTATATTCAACACTACTGGAAGCCGCGCTGACTACTTGGGCCCTAATATAATATGTTGTCGCGGGTCTGGGATTAGATAGAGATGCTAACCATAGGCGAGCGTGAAGGATACGCTGGAAGAGTGAGTAGTTTATGCGAGGAAAGTATATCCCCGGCATTCCACTTACTGTTGCCCTAATCAATGCATTGGCCCCTCGAGTGAGGTGGTCTATGGTTTCGCAACCCGAACCAGCCAAACCTTTACATTGAATTGCGGGCCTATATCATCTCGCAGGATGGCCGGATCTTGTTAGGAGAGGAATGGCATTCGCTGCGATCGCCGCGAGTCTTGGCTTCAAATCCTATGCGCGTCGACGGCCTTGCCCAGCCCCAACCAACTTTCTATGCCCAGGGGACGCGTGAACATTAGGTCCCAGATCCGTGTCTGGGGGAGGGAGGATAAGAACACTGACTTGTGTCATCAGGTCGGGTGGCCTCCGCAAAGTTCATTGCATAGGACACCCCACATTCAATTAAGCCACTACATAGGCCGATTCATACAGATTCTGCAATGGAGTAGAAATGCCCACCGCATTCCTAAAAAACGGAGTCGATCGTGACTGGCGCGAAGGAGTTTATCCTGTGTTCAGGTGTGACCGCGGGTAACTTGTGTTGTTAACCTCTCCGCCTCCTGTAGTATTTTCGCAACGGGAACCGAACGGGTAGTTGGTCCACGTGAGCGGTTCAACTTAACACTGGAGCCTTATCACGGCCATTACCACTTGTACAATAGCGGCCTTGTTTAGCAGGGTTTAGAGTTATGGAAATAAGAGCCTGCCTAGCTTGTGGTTGGCATGCGCCGGACTCGGCGTGCGCGTGCGATGTGTCCCATAGAACCGATCGCGCGAAAATTGTGAGCGTAGTGTTGCTAAGCGTAGTAGCTGAGTTTGCTCGGCTTGCAGAAGATGGGGATTTCTAATCAGTAAGATTGGGAGGTTGGGTGCTGGGGTGGGGGGGTTTGGTGCATCAAGACGGCCTCTAGCCGGTTCCCGTTGAGACAATTATACCATTTGTGGAGGGGTTGCCGTAGGGATACTAGTGTATGCAGTCACTTGCCCAAAGAAAAAAGGAAATGAGTGGCGCTGCGGTTCAAATCAGGGACCAGCACACGTCGAGGCCACAAAACCCTTCCTCTAGCGTCGGCTGGTTGGTACCAGGCTTGTCCTTAGGGAGAAGAACGGCGAGTAGTGCATTGGCTTTGCTGCTACTACTCCGCCCAACCAGTTATTTGACACCAATTCGAAATGCCACGAAAGTTCTGAATAGGACTGGAATCAGGTCACGTCATCGTTGGAAGTTCCCCAATAGGGGGGGGGAGCGTATTTATTCCTATGGGGAGGAGGAGACTTGATCGACGGTTGGATCAAGTCTCCCCTCCCCCCATTGGGGAACTTAGGGGGAGTCTTATCAAGCCATCTTTAGGGGCGGGGTCGTGCGGACACAACCAAGATCTCCCAGAAAGGGTCGAGATGTTCCTATTTTTCTCAAACTTTGACTAGAAGTTGCTCTGAGCCATGCGAAGTAAACAAAACATCCCCATGAATATCCGGGATGACGATGAGAGGGCTTCTTGAAAATCCCAGCATTAATCTCGCGTTCGATTCGGAGCCGCTGACATGTGTGCGCGCCAGTTTTTCCCACGTTGGTATCGTTTCGCACGTCCGAACCGAGGCGACGATTAAATTGAATTCTCGGAAAATCTTTTGAAACGGAAAAAAAGAACGAGAACATTGGCGCACCTTTTTGTTGCGAGCTAGTGTACGGTAATGGGATTAGCGTGCCATCTGAGAGCACACAGTCCCACCATAAACCATGATGATGGATTTCGGCCAGTTTTGGCCGATCGACTATCTGTAGAAGGCTAAAATTAGCCTGCAGTACCAAAAACGACTTGTCTAGCAGTACTCACCTGCCACATTGGACTGAACACACTGAAAGCGGTCAGAAGCATACCGGCTACAATCACCACAATGGAAGTGATCAACACAACCTTGTACATAGGCGATGATCCTGCAAGTAATACCTGAGTATAGTTAACAAGAGGCTATCAGAGACGAGAAATTGCTGAGCATCGGCATGCGGAAGCCTATGGGAGAACGAGAGGGTGGAGAGTGAAAGTGCAAACTGCTGCTGCTGTCCTGAAGAGAAGTACGCATAGCACGAGCCTCTATGCACCATGAATTATTTGTGCAGAAAAGAAAGACGTTGTTCGGTGTAATGAACATGAAAGGATGAAATATTTGAATTGGACGAATGAAATTCCGACACGCCTACAGGGGCAAAAAACTACTGGGAATGTGGGGAACTCTGAACTGAAACACTCCAGACATTGGAATCTGAGGCTTGATTGGGAAGTAGGGAAGTAGAGAAAAACCAACAATACCATTGCGACTGCCAGATGTAAATTGTTCTCTTCCCAAATGCCTCCTTTATAAACGAGATCTCTCCTAGAATTGCGATTCGACGCAAATTAGCTTGGGGAAAAAAGTCAAGCGTTCCAATAATTAATGGAACGTTCCCAAAAAAGGCTAATTATGGGCGTTCCTAGAGAGGTAATCAAGCATGGAACAAGCGAACGGAGCATAAATCACATTATGTTGCGCATAAGCCATGGCTCCTCCGGGATGCGCCATGAATTCACGACTCTGGGAAATAAGATCACCGAAACAACAGATTTTCTATGTGCTTCCACATAATTAAAGTTCTTGGAGTTTTGGAATTTTCATTTTGTCTTTCTGGCAGGCTGCATTATTGGTAAGAGGGTTGCACTGGGACTGGAACTGGTGGAGTCGCTACTTCCAAAAAAGCAAGAAATGCTACTGAGTATTGACTGCCCTAAGTTTGTCTGTTGGTGTGCGTATGGGAAGTGTGGTAATGCGTGCGGTGGGGGGTAGGTCTGTATGTGTGTGATATTTGGTGCATGTATTTGTGCGTGCCGTGAGTGTGGAACTTGGGTGTATGTGCGTCCGGGTAGGGATGTATGCATGTTTGTATGAGTGGGTCGTGTGTGTGAGCACGTGTGGGTGTATGTGAGTGTGTATAGGTACATGGCTGTTAATCTGGGCGTGGCGATAGGTGTGTGGTGTGTGTGGTGCTGGGTGGGTTGGCACGGGTACATTGGGTGTGGCCATGTGTGCTTAGCCCGCGTGGAATGTCGCCTGTTGGGTGGTGTGTGTGGGTGTGAGGGTACGTGTGTGTAAGTGGGTGGGCGTGTTGAATTCGTGTGTGTGAGAGCTGTATGTGTTTTCGCGGCCGGATGGGTGTGGTGTATGTGTGTGTGATATTGGTGAGCTACTTTGTGTGTGTTTGGGTGGGTAAGTGGTGTGTATGGATGTGCATTGTGTGATGTGTGTCGAGTGGAGGGATGGCTGTGCAAAGGGGGTATATTGGTGTGGGTGTCTGTGGGTAAGTGTGGGTGCTCGGGTGCTTATGTGGTTTGGTTGTGCATTTGATCAGGATTTTACAATTTTCTTCGCTTCAGAACTATTTTCTAGTGTTCGAATTTGTAAAAGCTATGTAAATTCCATATAGGAAGTGGAACGGAAAAGTAAATGCTGTGTGTCGAAAGGTGACAACATCTGATAAGAGCTAATAAGGGGCGTTAGAATGTGGAGGAAGGTCAATGGAGTCATAGCACCTGCGGCGACAACAGTGGAAAAGTGATTCCAAGAAAGGCGTTATTTATCTATTATTTATTTATTTAATATTGCACTCAAGGTGCTCCTTGACAAAAAAGAAACAATCAAGCAGAATACACATTAGCAAAAGTGTAAAAATTGGTCAACACAATACTGATGTTGAGTTATTTGAGAGTGATAATATTTGATGAAAGGTCAGCCCGGGCAACGCAACTAACCGTGGTTATTCCGGGGCGGGCCAAAGTAGATGCCTCTTTGATCTAAATACGAACCCCAGGCGTAAGACCCAGGCCCAAGTAACCAGTTGGATAAACGAACGGCACCTGTTGACTTCATCAACCGA